CCCCTTGATAAGTCTGTCTCCTGCCTGCTCAACAGTCATTCAATTATGCATTTTAAAAAAATTGTTTGGATTAATTTTAATTTGCTAAATTAGTGAATTTATTTTCATGGATTGGTTTTCCACTTGATTTGCTTATGTTTTCTGAATTTAAAAATGATATTGTAGATTAGTTCGAAATTAAATCTTTATATGTTTGCACATTTTTCTAATTTTTTTAAAAATTATTTTGGCTTTAAATTAAATTTGCTCTTTTACTTTTATAAGTATTTGTTAAAATTTAAATATATATATATATATATAAATATATTTCCTAAACAATATTGATTAATTGATTATATTATCTCCTATGTTTAATTAAAGTAGAATTATTTTAAAAGAGTGAATCCATACTGGTGAGTTATATTTTGAGAGATGTTTTGAAGTATTTTGAAAGTAAAAATGTTTTAACGGGGACCGAAATTAAATCATCATGAAGAACAAAATTTCAGTTGTAAAAGGAAAAATTAAATTAAAAACATGAAATCATTATCATTGATCGGAAATTAGTTGACTTTTCAAGGGGAACAAACCAACTCCCGTTCAATGAACAATAATTAATAAAAATACGTAAATACGAAGGTGTTTCGTTTTTACTCGAGTTATAAGGTAAAGCCAAACCGGCAAAACCGGAGTAAAAAGTAATTACTGTAGAGAAATCCGAAAAAACTCAAGTAACCGTCCCCGACAACCTCATGTTTATGCATTTGAGTTCTATATTATTTGTAAAAATTAAGCATTGGAAATTGTCATTATGAAATAGAATTCAAAGTAAAGTTGAAATAAACATAGAAGATTACAAAAGATAAATAATGCAAACTTTGTAAAAACAAATCAAAAAATATTAAAAATAATATAAAAAAATAATATAAAAAAATAATAAGAACAGTGAATGTACATGAAGATATAAAGGCCAGAAAAGGTTTTAAGTATCTTACATTCTTTCTAGTGGGGAGTTGGCAAAGCGTTCTCTTCGTGTCTGACTCATAAGCGTAGGGTGCCCGAAAATTTTTATCGGCTGTGGGGGGCTTTGAATAATATCAGGCGGTAAGACTTGGATGAAGTAATTTATGGTAGTGGGTGGGACTCGGAATTCTTGAGTGATGTATTATGTGGAGTTCTTGTTTGAGTGAAACTGTTAAGATTTTTTTGAAAATACTGGTGAATGGAAACTAATTAATTTCTGGCTAATTGTCGTGTCGCAATGATTAAGAATTTAAGAAAGGAAAAACGGAATTTTCATTGTCCAAGAGCTATTAGACAGACTAAAGTCATGAAATAGTAACAGCATAAGTCTGAAGACAATTAGCTTTTTTACAATATATACAACTGAGTAATTACACTATATACAAATCCTTCAACTGATAGTCATCCAACTTACACCGCCTTCTCAGGTTTAGGAACAAATTATCATATCCCTATAAGTTAAATGATTTAGAGTGAGTATTTAACACCTGCTCTTTTAAGGCAATGGTTAATAAATTGAATGGGTATTAGATTATTTTTGAGAATTTTAATAAGGAGCAAAATTTCGCGTTGTAAATCTATTGTATCTGTGCATATAATTTTAATTCTTTGTATTTGATTAATTATTGTATTGTTAATTACTTTTTTGGATATGTTGTTGGAGTTCCAATTTATTAATTGTTTGTATTGAATTGAAGTTTTCTTGTTTTGTCAAAAAGTATAACTTTTTAGTTAATGATTTGAAGATCTAGAAAGTCTTTGCTATTTTGTGAATTATTAGTTTTATTAAGTGTAAGACAATTTGGATAAATCTCGGAGTGTTCAATTTTACCAAAATTATTAATTGTAATAAGGTCATCAATATATCTGTAGGTGTGTTTGAAGTAATTTAACTCTTGTGGTTGTAGATTTTTTTGGAAGTTAAATTCTTTGATAAATAAAAAGATATTACAGATCGAGGAGCTGGAATGTAAGTCCATTGGCAATCTTCTGACTTGTTTAAAAAGTTGATTTTGAAACTTGATGTAGTTATGAAAAAGTGTGCATTTTAGGTAGGTTTTCCATTTGTCAAGAGTCATAATTTTGAGCATATCAGGGAAGAGTTTAGGCAGATCAAGTAGATTGGTATAGATTTCTTCTAGAGGAAGTGAAGTATATAAGTTTTCAAAGTCATAGCAGTTAATGTGTTGGATGTTAATTGTTTGAATGTGGTTAATGACATTAATGTTATTATGGATGATCCAGCAATGGTTATGATTAGTGTTACAATCATTGAAAATAAATTTACAGATTTTATTAAGTTGAATTGAAAAATAATAGTCTACATTTTTCTTGTAATTATTAGTTCCATTAACTATAAATCTGAATTTTAATGGTGTTTTATGGAATTTGGGAATTGCATAAAGATTAGTAAATCTGTTGTAGTTTGTATTGAAAGTAATATTGAGTTTTTTATGAAAAGTTTTAATCCTGTTTATTATAGATGTTTCTGTAACGTTGGCTAATTGATAAGTAATTGCGTTGAGAAATTCTTTATGAATAATTTCTGCGTAGAATTGTTTTCATATAATGCTAAAGTTATTAGTTGCTTTATCTATTTTTGTAATAGTAAAAAGCTGTTTTAATTTTTTAATATCTTATGTAAGTTGCTACCAATTCAGTGTACTTTTAAACTTGAGGTGACTGATTTCGGTGGATATGCGTTGAAGAATTTTAGCTTTCCATTTTAAGAAAGTATCTGTGGGTAAATTCAGTTGATAGCTTTAACTATAAATTCGTTGATATTGTTTTCGAAAGTCTTGTAACAGTAATTTTTAGTTATCTTTCTGACTGGTCTAAATTTTGTACCATAACTCATTAGGTCTAAATTTTGTACCATAACTCATTTTTGTACCATAACTCGAGTAAAGACGAAACACCTTCGTATTTAAGTATTGTTATTAATTATTGTTCATTGAACGGGAGTTGGTTTGTTCCCCTTGAAAAGTCAACTAATTTCCGATCAATGACAATGATTACATGTTTTTAATTTATTTTTTCCTTTTACAATTGAAATTTTGTTCTTCATGATGATTTAATTCCAGTCCCCTTTAAAGCATTACTAACATTTTATTTTCAAGTTACTTCAAAACATCTTTCAAAATATAACTCACCAGTATGGATTCACTCTTTTAAAATAATTCTACTTTAATTAAACTTAGGAGATAATATAATCAATTAATCAATATTGTTTAGGAAATAAATTATTATTAACTAACTTTGCAGCAATTACGCAAGTAGTAGTAACTTGTTTTCGCACTAAATGAATTTAAGATCATACAACATATATATAAAAACTGAATATAAACTAAAACTAAAAATTAATAAAAAAAATTAAAGCTATCAAATTTTTAATTACGCCCAAAGGAGTGTTTTTTTAACGAATTGTGCGTCACCTTTATTTATTAAATATCATGTTTTTCGCACTTAAACCATAAAATTCAGTTCAACAGCAATATCGCAAAACAACTTTAAAAGAGCATAGCTTTAGAATTTTGCATACATAGTCTTGCCGGCTGGAGATAATTCACCCCCCCCGTACGGGGTTGAAATTGCTTGCTTTGAAATTGTTGAGTTTCTTAATCAAAAATTCATAAATGCTTTACAAAATATAAAATCGATAATAATATATATTTCAAAGTTGGGCTTTCAGATGCCCATATTCGGGTGGAGACGTACGTTATTCAAAATTTAATGGCTCTAGGTACCGTTGTTTTATCACAATGAGAGAAACATACATACATTCATACAGATTCTTCATTATTTAATTTTTTTAAATGTAATACAGGGGATAATATTTGGTGGCAACAATTTGAAAAGTGATTCAGACCAAGGCCAACTAGATCTTTATCTATCAACTATAACTAGTTGCCCTTGTTGAGACTTTTAAAGTTTTCATTAATAGCTCTTCTGGGCTAATATCCTTTGGGATAACAAACAATTTGAAATCACCAATGAAGATTAGTAGAATTGGTAATCATTTGTGGTTGTATTTGTGATATTGAGGTATAACTGAGTTAATAACGGTTTGGTCAGAATTTGAAAATATTTGTGCGAAATTTTAGCCATCAAAACAGCTTTAAATTTTATCATGACAATGATTAGAAGCTCACGGCATAAAATCTCCTTTGTTTTTTGTCTAACGGTGTTTAAGTCTTTTATAAATAAATGCAGCCTCCAAATTTAAATCTCATAGAGCTGGAGAGGGCAGATTTTCTGTTGTTGAGCTCGCAAAGTCTTCTTTTGAACTCTAAAGCACTGCCAAGAAGCTTATGAAATTAATTCAAAAAGAATTAAATGTGTCCGTCAAGTAAAGGGACATATACCTAAATGCTGAAATTTTATTTAAAAACCGTTTATTTTAAAGTCCAATTACTTTTTGACCTTGACTTCAGCTACAGTCTAATTATTTTACACTTTTGTGGTTTGTCTTTCTCAGTAATTTGATACAGCTCTACGTTGTTTTAAAATGGATAAAATTATAATGCTAAACGAACGAGACGCTAATTTTATGTCACTGATTAGATATTTTAAGTAGCTCTTTAAATTGAAAATTAGAAGTGGCATATAACTTATGAGAGCCACTGTACATTATTCCTTATTTTGTCTAAAATTTTAAAATAATTGCAAAGAAAGTGTTTATACGTATATACCTATACAAATATTCGATGAAATGAAATATTTGCTTTGTGGTCAATATGTATTCCATTCGGGATAACTGCAGTTTATTAGATATATTGTAATTTGTAAATTTAGACAGAACAGCTTCCGGAATGTTTCAACATCTGATTTGAAGTTATAATTTTTTTTTTTTTTTTTTTCTTTTTCTGTTATATTCAGCGTCTGCATCTGTGCCAAGATATGATATTCGCTTGGACCAATGAGCGCGAAGCTGGGTCAATACATGTAGAGGAATTTTTTTTTTCTTTATTTCACTGTAACTGCTTTTGCTTGTCCTAAACGCTATTGGCGTTGTTGTGTGCATTAGTGTGTGCTGCACTGATTTCTGTGTGTGTTGTTTTTAACATATTCTAAAGCGTTGATAAGCATGCTATCTGAAAAGTATTCCGTGTAAAAATAAGGCTAAGCTTTAAATACGGACAAAAAGCTGAGCTTCAATTGCCAACCCTATCAAAATTATGTCTAATGTCGATTTAAGACGGCAGCTCTTAGATTTTTTTCAGCTCAACTATCACAAAGATGTTAAACTAATAGATATTTGTCGTGCTGTACAACAGCCGAAGAAGGTAGTTAATAGTGTTCTGTATAATTTAAGAAGCGAAGGAATTTTGCAGAAAGTTGTTGAAAGCCCTCCTGTGTGGAGAGTGAATGAGAAGTTATACGACAGGTATACCCAAGCTACGGTGGTCCCAGATGCAACTCCTTATCATTACACATTGAAAGATGAAAATCCTATTCCCTGTATTACTAAAAATAATAATTTTGCTGTGTTATCATCTGTGGAAAATAACAGGTCTGACCCGATGTATGTTAAAGAGCAGTTGGTAAGCAAATAAACTTCTAAACCTTCGTTATTCTTAAATTCATGTAAGTGAATTTTGGTATGTTAATATTTTAGCAGAAAGTGTATTCTTTTCCAATACCAATAACGTTTGTAGGACTTTGGAATCAAACTAGGCGTTTGTTTCTAATTTCTAAAATTGTAGTTGTTTTCTGATTGCAGTAGTAAATTAGCTGTTAAAAACTTTAGGATATGTATTGGTCTAAAGAAATTACTCTTTTTTTAATCCCTTTCAGATGCTGTTTGCTTTCGTTCTTTTATGCTTTGAGATTTTTAGAGGATTTATTATAATGTAGATTGTTTAGAAGTTATTTGTATTAAATAGCATAAACAAAAAAGATGAAGTTTGAAGGAGTATTTAAGAAAATTTGCGTGTATTTTGTAAAATACATGAACAATTTAAGAAACAATTTCTGGATGTTTATATTTCAGATGCTCTGTGTTAGTAAAATTTTACAAGTACTGATTACAGGATCATTAAGTACTGAAAATGTAAGAATTATGTAAAGTGATCTTGATTTGTTTTACACAGTTTACATAATTTAATTAGACAAGGCATGTTTCACTGTTGCTTAAAATATAATATAAAGCATAGCATTTTAATGTACTAGTGATAATTGTATTGCATATATCATGCAGATTGTTAGATATTTTAACGTATTAATTTATACCTCATTAAGTGTATAAATTGTATTTAAATAGCAAGGTTAATTTGAATTGTAACAGAATTATAGTATTCAAATGATTGAACACAGATTTTTTTAGTTAGTTGTTGACAATTCATTTTGAATTAATTTTTTTGTTTGGGGGGCAGGCACAATTCTGTTAGGAAACAACCCTGAGAAGGCGGTAATAAAACTCAGTTTTTTTTTGTATCTGAAATTTATTACCACCTTTTCAGCTTTACTTATAATATGAATTTTATGAGCTCTGTTGTAATTATTTGTTAATTTTAGCATTAACACGGTTGTAATCATTGTAATAGTGAGAGCCACAGTGTATGCCTGGAAATAGTATTTAATGTGTTAAATTTTACAAATTTTCAAATGATTTGAATTTAGTTGGGAGCTTCAGATGCGTTTGTAAGTCTTAACTGCACCAATTCTTATATTCAGGTAAAGCAAGGAAATAGCAAAATTTCATCTGTTTTCAAAACATTCAAATTAAAGTACTTTTTAAAGTGTAATAGTGTTTGTATCTAAGCAGCAGTGAAGGGTAGGCAGCTGTTATTTTGTTAATGTATAAAATGAAACATTTTAAAACTCTTAATATCAATAAAATTTAGAGATAATTATACAGTTTTGTTAATAATTAAAATCTAACTTATTATTAGGAATGTTAAATTTAAAAAAAACAGCACACAGGGAAACTATTATTTTTAATTTATATAGGAATGCATTTATTTATTTTTTGAAAAGTGAACTTTGTATAATGAATGATCATTGTATTCTTTGTTAGTATTTGTTGCAGTTTGTTTTGCAATTGTTGTCAATGTATTTTCTTTTAGATATACCATCTAGAAATAGTTTCAAAACTTTTGTCTTCAAGCTCTTCTGGGTGAAATTGGTGTATTTGTTTTCTCCTCCATGTGATTTGTGTCATTATTTGATTCACGAAAGAAAGATTTTGTATCTGCATGCGCAACAGAAATATTGGCAGATCTATTGAATTGGATCTGTAAATGAACTTAGGTCATAATACTCAAACTGCTTTTAAACAGTTACAAATGTATAATCATATGCAAACATACTTCCAAATTTAATTATGTTCATGGACATGCTATGTATGTACACAAAACCCAATTTGTAACAACGTTTATGCGAATTTATTTTTCTTTAGTGCATATTTGTTCATCCTATGGTTATGATAAATAAATATGCAAATAAAACTTAATACAGTCAAAAGTCTTTAATCCAGACTCGTTGAGACTTCGGCGATTCCGGGTTGTCGGTTTTTCCAAATTATAGATGTTCAGTTTAAATCTGGTAAGATGGCATGCAGAAATTATAAAATTAAAAATATGAAATTGTAATTTATGAAATAAAAAGCAATTATGATCTAAAGGGTATCAAAATTTACAAAAAAAAAAGCTTAATATTTGTTTACTTTATTAAACATTTCTTTCAATGCGCGCATGCATAAAGCATACATTATGCATAGTCGAAATTAGAAAATTGCAACCAGAAAACTATTTGATGTGTATTCGTGATATATAATGACGAGGAATTTGATTTAAATCATATCAAAGGCGGAGTACAGCGAGATGAAATACTACATTTAGTAAGGAATTATAAGCTGAATAAAATAAAAACATCTTCTTTGAAGATAAGGATAGTGCTGACAGATCAACTTCCAGTTCATTGCGTGCCGCACCCTTCTGCCGCAGAGCAGCATGACATTGATAAACATATTTCGGAATGGTTAGAGAATCGATTCGTATTTTGCAGCAATTCCTATTTTTGTTTGATGGACATCGAAACATTTTTTATCTTTGTAGATCCTTTGGTAGCTCCAGAATCGGAAATTCTTTTTTTGACATAATCGAAAGTTCAAGTTTACTTTTATAAAATTTCTGTAACGGTCTTCAAAAAATAATAAGCCGGATCCAGTTAGGAGATTAAGGAACAATGCAATCTGCAACATTAACTGAAATATATAATTGGATAATTTTAGCTTATATTATACAGTCTGTTATACATTAAACGTGCATGCGTAAACGTATTATGCGCATGCGTAAAGGTATTATGCACATGTGTTAACGCATTATGCTTCAACGCATGCGCATAAATTTTGTAGCTTTGAGGTCCGGATTATAGATCATTCTGGATTATGGACGTCCGAATTAAAGCCTTTTGACTGTAATCTACTTTTCTTTATAATATTATACTTCCTCTTGTATTCCACCCTAGTTTTTTAGAGCCAGGTTTGTAATTCTAAAAGTTGAAAAAAAAAAAAAAATCACGTAATTTTCCCCTTCATTATATTCAGAGAACAAAACTCCCAAAATTTTAAAATAGTTCAGAGAATAAGCTGTTAACGTTTTCTTTACACTGACAAACTGTCGTGAAGGTCATGCTGTACCTTAAGATTGTAACTGTTGAACTTTATGCCAGCTTAATACAAAAACTGACCATTCAAGGCAAAGCAAACACAAACTGACCATTCAAGGCAAAGCAAACACAAACTGACATTGTTTATAATTTCTTAGAGTCAGCTGCATATTCATCTTCTCTAATTATTATTCTATTTGCACTGTTCATTTTCTCATTATCCTAAAGAGTATCAGAGGACAAAAATAAGAATGGGTAAGATTTAAGTTACGGAGAAGTGGAAATGGTATCTTATTAGATATTGTAATATTATTATGTATTCTTATTGGCATATAGGTTTCTTTTAAAGAAATATTGTGGTAATTAAGTGTAGTTTATCCATAACTTCTTTTCATTTGTTATATTCGTACTATAAACATGTCCTTCAGATATTAATTATTCCAAAATCTTTCCTCCTCAATTTTCAGACAGTAAAATTTGTAAAAAAAAAAAGTTTGACGATTATTGTATGTACCTATTTCCCATTGTATACTTTTAAAATGATTTTAGAATTAGAGGAATAGAAAGGGGGTGTTGTTAATTGCTATGAATAACTTTGGAAATATTCATAGAAATATCTTATAATCAAACAGCATTATTTATTAATCTTCTTTAGATGCTGTTAGTCACGTGCACCTCACAGGAGCATCATTACTCCACTTTCCTCTCCTCTGCCGTCAATAGGCACTTCCAGGAGAGGGGCTTCATGTTATCCTCTTAACTTAAAGATTACTTAAAGATAAGTGTACTAAAGAGGTTCATACATGTTGGTGCAGAGTTGCGACAGCTGCATTTGCCCCACTGGTGTAATGCGACCATTATCGCCAGTGTTATGGATGTGATATTTTTATGAATTCTGTATTTTCCTTTTTGTATGTTATTTTCTGCAGTTGCTGGGGCACTTTTGGTAGATTGTAAATCAACAGTAAATGCAGGAAGTATTATAATCACTCAGTAGGTGCAACACGACTAAATTCTTCTTCCTCTTTCATTTTCCTTCCTGTAGAATGGATTCAAAAAAGAGATCCTTTGATTTAAATATCTCGGTGACATGAAGAAAATTCATAGTATACTGTTTGATGATGATTCAACAGAGAAGGATGATTTCGGAGATAATCTGATACGATAGAGGCGATCTTCGAGTGCTTGATCAAGATTGGAAACGGAGCAAAGTGAAGTTGATTCATCATCTGAGGACAAAAATTTCAGTAATGAAACGTACTAAATAGCCTATCAAAAGAACAATGGAAAAGATTTAATGGAATAAATGTCCACCATTAAGCAGAAAGAAAGCCAGCAAACAGAATTTTTTGGTACGCTTACGGGGTGTGATTAGTGCTGCACGGAAAGCTGTGAGATTTTAGACTCTTGGTTATTTTTCATTGATGAATCAGTTCTCAGCTCTATAGCAGAATGGACCACTGAGTAGTACATTGATTTGAGAGACCTGAATGCTCAAATTATGTACTCACAAAATGGTAACATCATGAAAAATTATAGGATCTTCTTACTTCAGTTGGTCAAACATCTTGAGATGGATGAAATGATATGGCACAGAAGAAAAATGTATTTCAGTTCTTTGCCTTAGATTGGCAGTGATCACAAAACCACCTTCTTGAGCCACAGAAAATAACCTAGAGTCTAGTAATCAGGCCAAGAAGCAGAAATTGTCAAAATTATGTCGAAATGATAAACAATGGAACAATAGGAAGTATATATGTGCTACTTGTCGAAAATATGACTCTTACATGTGTAAAATATCTATTTCAGAGGAAGATAGTGCTGAATCAGACAACTTTTAAAATAATATTTTTGTTTGAATGTGTGTTATTGTAATAAGTATACAAGACTCAGTCTTTTACAAATTCACTTGTCACACCTTTACTTTTATTGACTTAGTTATAATGCTGGTTTTGAATAAAATTTACGAATAAAAAAATTTGTTTAATACTTTGTATCTACAAAGAATCTTGAATAGGTAACAATTAACTATTTAAAATAGAATAAATTCTTTTGGCTTTGAAAAACTCTGGGCTAAGTGCAGAGTCACCCACTTATTTGATTGGCGTTTGTTTGGCGCGTTTTACAAGAGTAAGAAGAATTGGATTTTTGTCAATTTTCTTTGACCTTTTTAAGTGAAAATAGGTTGATGTGTACATGGGTAAAAGGAGTGCACAGTGCCATTTTTGTGCAATTCTGGGATGTTTTTTTAAGCGAAAATAGGTCAGTGTGTACATGGATATCGAGTATGTGCAATTCTTAAAAATGTGCCAAGCAGTGGGCGATTCTGCACTTTCCTCAAACTCTGAAACATCTTATAGATGCAGTGCGACTAACCACGTCAAGGAAAGGTTAAAATTGGTATTTTAAAATACTTTGTTGTAAGAAAGGATTAGTTGTAAATAATATTGTTTACTGTAAATGAAATCTGAATTTTGTATAATTTTTTAAAACTATTTTAGGTTGCGTATCACACAGTTGTTAGCAGTACTACATCTGAGGAATTTTGCCAGTCTTTCAGTGGCCGTCAAATTGCAACACCTGCTTTGCCTATTCAGAATGCTGGCAATAACATCAATCCATCAGCATATCTTTCAAAACCTGCTGAAGCCGTACTTAATATTTTGCACAAACAGAAAGGCATGTATTATTTTCTGCATATTAAAATTGTAAATTCATTTAATATTGTGCATTTTATGTTTTAAACTTTCTAATTTAAGTTTAATAAAATAAAGATTCATTTATATATATTCACTTAGGATAAATTTTAGTCATCCAGTTTGAGATAATTTCTAGTAATAATTAAAAAAAAAATTCAAGATAATACTGTATAAAATTGTTAAATATTGTAATGATAATTTGAACTCTTTATCTTAAGCATAATGGTTTATTAAATGCAAATTTACCTAGTAAGGGCTGTTTAAATATAGGTATCATGACAAAACCCATGCCACTCAGAAGCTTAAGTTAAAATTTATTAGGAAACTGTTTTCCTCAAATTCACTAATTTAAATTTTGTAAAAGAAAATTAACATAAATTTTAAACTTTTTTTGCAAAGGTCTTCATCATTTATAAAGGTTTATTTTATATCTACTTAAACTGTTAATTGCTGCAGCTCTTAGTCACTTGTATGGTTTGTAGGAGTATATTGCAGTGTGTCCTGTGTTTGAAAGATAATTCCTTGGTCAGTTAGAACCAAATTTGTGTTTTGTAGGTGCACCTCATACCAAAGATATCTTTCAAGTAGATTTAATGTTAGATTTTTGAAAAGAGTGGGATAAAATATTTAAAGAAGTACAGTCAAAAGTCGTTAATCCGGACTCGTCGGGACTTCGGCGATTCCGGATTATCGATTTTTCCGGATTATAGATCATCAGTTTAAATCTGGTAAGATGGCATTCAGAAATTACAAAATTAAAAATATGAAACCGTAATTTATGAAATAAAGAACAATTATGATCTAAAGGGTATCAAAATTTACAAAAAGAAAAAGCTTAATATTTATTTGTTTACTTTATTAAACATTTCTTTCAATGTAAGTTGCTTTGTTTCACATGATAATACTTTCTCTTTAATTCTATTAAACAGACATAATTTCTTGTTTAGTTACAAAGTGGCGTAATTGGTTGCGTCATATTATAGTTGAATGCTGAGTAGTTGAATAATTTGAACTCGCAATCTCATAATCAACAGTTCGTTGCCATACCGTCTTGGTTATCAGTCTTTGCCCGAGTTGGAATTTGTTGAGAGTTCAGTGACCTTTGCGCAGTGCTGATAATGTGATTTTGAGATTTGGTGAGCTTAAGTGAGTAGGGGGAAAGCTTTCTAATAATGAAACAAAAAAAAGCTGTTTTCAAATGGAGTCTCATAACAGAAACCTACCTCATTCATATGGTGTAATTTTTAATTCTTTTTGTCGGCAAGGTGATTATGAATGAAGCGTTTACTGGTTGACCTTAGAATGAAGTGTTTACTGGCGTACAGTGATAGCTTTGTTTGGTTACAGAAAAGTATTTTCTGCTATCTTCTTTACCAAATTAGTTCTGAATTTTTAAGACATCTGAGCCATGAGTTGTACTGTTGTATTGTATTCTCATTTCTTAACCTCTTAGCTTACAATGACGCTTCAGAGGCATCGCAAGGTTATCAGACCAAACATGAATAAGATGCCTCAGGGGAGTTGCAAGGTTATCAGCCCAAACATGAATAAGACGCCTCAGAAGCGTCGCAAGGTAATCTGCCCAAACATGAAAAAGACGCCTCAGAGTCGTCGTAACTCTACCGGGCGAAACATAAACAAAACATTTCAGAAACTTGATGGGGTCTCTGCCCCATAAGAGACATTCCAAAGGCGCGAGTTCAGTTACTTCTCATTCGCATTTGACGTTACATCGTTTGTAAGAAGTATTATAAAATCAACCATTATAATGTCTTCAAAGAGAAAAATTAGTATTGAGAACAGTGATAACTTTGCTACCAGTAGTAGTGACATTGTACGTTTCGCACGAAAAGCTACTAAGCAACTGGTGATTAGCGAAGAATCCGATAATGAAAATTATGATCAACCACCTGAGTTGTAGATCTGGAAAAAAAGCGAGAACCAACCAAAAATATGGCAATATATGGAAATTCGCAGAATAAAAGCTGCAACATTAGATCAGTTGAGTACAAGCAAAGAGGAAATGGAAGTTTTTAATATAATGTTTAATAGTATATTTTGGGAAAATCTTGTAACGGAGACATATCTATACGCGGAACAAGTGATAAATAATGAAAATAAAAGAAGAAAAATTGATGAAGCTTGGTTTCCTATTGACTGTGATGAATTAAAAATATATATTGCCCTATGTATAATTGTGGCTGAAGTGAAGAAACTCGCATTTCAAATGTATTGGTCTAAGAGGGCCGTTATTGCAACTCCAATATTTAGAGAAACGATGCCGTACAAAAGATTTTTTACAAATAAGTAGATTTTTGCATTTTGCAAATAATGAGGTGGCCAATGAAAGTGATAAATTAAGTAAAATAAAGCCCATAATAAATTATTTTAACCAACAATTCCAAGAAATATATACTATGCAAGAGGACATTGCAATTGATGAATTATTAGTAAAATTTAAAGGACGTTTAACCTATAAACAATACAATCCGTCAAAAAGAGTGAGATTTGGTATAAAAGTTTATAAATTGTGCGAGTCCAGTACAGGTTACTGCTATAATTTCAAAATATACACTGGCCGTGATAAAATACATACTACAGAAAATCCATCTGAAACTAGTCAAAGAACTATCAAAGCCAATTTTACACAAAGAACACACATTATATTTGGACAATTCGTATTCTTCACAAAATCTTTTTGTGATTCTACTCAACAGTAAAACTAATAGATAGAAAAAATGCTAACCTCCCACTGGTCCAGAACAGGTGCAACCAGCGTGACATCACCGAATGTCAGAATTAAGAGCAACAAAAATTTTAGAATTTAGAAGAGTACCAAGTAGCAAAAGTGAGGGATGGTAGAATTTTTAGAATTTAAGAGAGTCACTAGGCTGTAGAATTTAGGAGCAGCAAAATTTGTAGAGTTTTTGGGAGGCACTGGGCAGCAGAAATTAGGATCAATAAAGATTGCACCAGGGAGCAAAATGCATAATGCTCCTCACAGCCACTTGACTGAATTAGTAATTATGATCAACATCAATACTACATCAATCAATGCATTATTACTAGTTACAGTGTGGCTTCCTAGCCAACAGGTGTTTGAGAAGTGATATGCAGGAATATCAATTAGTTTGTAGAAAAGTCACATTAAGGCATTCATGCCTCTTATACGGGAAATCATTATTTTTTGACTGGCAATACAGATTTCCAGATTTGTGCTTCCTTATTGATGGTATTCATCAAAACAACACTCTTGTCTGCCTGTTGAAACTTCTGGAGTTTGCGGGCCATTGGTTGGGTGTATTTCTTCTATGTTGGTCTCTGTCTAATAGTTTCATGAGTCTGTCGACTCGCACATTCCAACAATCACCACTCACTTTCCACTTCTGAATCATGTAGGCCATTGTTGATTTTGAATAATTCAGCCATCTAGATATGCCTCTTAAGGACTGGTCATTTCTAGGATACTCAACAATTACACCTTTCTCAAAATCAGATAACTCTGCACTTATGGCATCTTGCATGCAACTACTGCTAATATTGTTTTGTATGTAATATTTAACTTGAGAGGGCATGACACAATCAGAACCTCAGATATCACCATTATGTGGGTGTCCAAATACTTATTAGTAGATATATAAATTCAATAGTAAACTCAGTAGCCCAGATAAAACTAGAAAATGTTGATACTTATTGATTATCTGGTATCCTTTGCTACACAATGAGCATTTTGTCATCTTTTGTCAATGAAATCTTTTTATTTTTTAAATTTCTGACAGATATTATTTGTGTGGCAATCACATTCAAAATTGTATCAAACAGATTATTATAATTTGAAGAGAACTGAAAAAGACTAGTGATAACCAGCTGTACTGCACTTTTGCCATTTTCTTCCATTTTGCAGATTCCTACATGTTTCATTCATTGAGTATCACTGCTGATCTCAGGACCAGAACTTTAAATAATGATAATAATAAAGCTCCCACCTTACCTTACCCCTAAAAAATGAACATTAATAAGAAAAAATTAAAAATCTCATTTTTTATCGAAGAATCCAGAACAGTTTCTAGTTGCCCATATTTTCATGAGATAGAGTTGCAGGTAGTTTTTGGGTGATGTGTTAGCAGGTACTGGATGTTAAAATTTTAATTCAGACTTTTAACACATTTATGTATAGTATGAACTAATTTAACATTTTAAGAGTTTTTGTTTAAAGCTTTTTTTTTTTTTTTTTTCAATTTTAGAATTAAAAAAAAACTGGAATTTATGTATGGATGTAATGTTTCATTAGCATTTCTTTATCAAAACTTCAGTTTGTTTCCTAAATAGATTGTATAATTTGTTTTATGTCTAAGGAAAGGATAAATAACGAAATATTTGTACATGGTGTCTGATAAATTTTCTGTGTTATGAGTGTAGTTGTACAAAGTTTTAGATATATTTTTGAGTACAAAGCATTATTTTGGTGTTATGTTTGAAATTTGTTGAAAAATAGAAGTAAGTTTTTAAAAGTACTGTGTGAATGAAATTACATTTCTTGTAATTTCATTTTTTAACTATACAGAAAGAATAATTGAACTTACTGTGTTTTCAAAAGTAAAGTGTTTTTATTAAAAAAAGGTGTGTGTGTGTGTGTGTGTGTGTGTGTGAAAAGTGATGTATTAGAATTTGTATTCTTTATTTTCAGAAATAATTCTTTTGGAAAAGAACAATTAACGAGTCCTGTTGTTAACCATGGAACTTAGTTGATAATGTAATATGTTTAACATGAAAACTGCTGCTATGTCTGAGTAGTTAATAAATATTGGTTACTTTATCATTTTGAAACATAATGTAACATTTTTAACATATATTTATGTAATTTATATGCATAATTTCATTGTAAAAATTTCCACTTTAGAATATTTTATCGGATCTCAATTTTATAACCTTAAGCATTGTAAAATTTAAAAATATGTGTACATATCTGTGTCTTCTAGA